TGATAAGACATGTAAATTAAGCTATCAAATTTTTAAACAGCTGAAACCTACTACCACTGAGTACGTGCTACAACATTCTTGAGATTAGAACAATCCGAAACAAATTAAAAACAGCCCAGAACAGTCCTAATTATACAAGCCATCCTAGTTAAATCCATCAACAAACATCTACAAACTGATTCCTAATACAATCACACAGCACATCCTATAGAGTCATGAATTAGAACACATATTAATGACATAGGCAAGGGGGAACGAATAGCAGTTTACTTCAATGCAATGCTTGAGATCTACAAGAGGTGTACCTGGGAATTTGAACACAAAAGAAGGATAAGGAGTCAGCAGTAGTAGTCAATAAATCAACAGCAATGATTCAAAACCAGCAACAGCTTTGAACTAAATTTGACCCAGGACTGATATATCAGCTGACAGGATTAATTTACAAACCCATAGATCACCCCAAAAATAGCTCGAATTCCATCCAAAACAAATTGAAATTGATCCCAGGACACTCCAGAACAACTTTCACCAATCAAAACTCGAACTAAACAATGCAAATCCACAGTACAACTTGAAGCTAAGCTAAAAATTGCAATGAAACAGTAGTATATTTTTTAAATTTTTGGTTTTCTATTGTTTTTTGGGTTTTGTATTTTTGAATTTCGAATTGAAAACTGAAAATTATAAGAAGAATACTATTCTTGATGGCTGGGATCTCTGGGATTTCTTAGGCTGAAAGCTCTTGGAATTTTCAGAGGGTAAAACTTGTGAAACAAGGCAATGGGTGTGCCTTTTATAGGCAAAACTAGGGTTAACTTTAGATTTTGTTTTTTACACCCTAAGTCCTTATTTCAATTTATTTTTAGCCAATTAGTCCCTCAATTCATGCCTTGTTGGCCAAGTTATACTATTTCAATTTCTCAGATGCAAAATGGAACCTCAATCTAGAAAGTTCTAGGGACTTCTACTTTCAGTTGCAGCAATATTCCCTAAGTAAACTACCCTTATTGCCCCTGCATTAGTCCTAAAATACTAACCCATGTTAACTAACCTAGCCTTTCTAAACTAACCATGGTCAAACTAACAATTCTGAAAATTGATCAGCTAAAACCAAATTCAATCACAACTCTTAAATTTAAAAACTAACTACTGAATCCGGATTACAAAACTACTATTATCTACTAGCAGTCAAACAAACTAAGAAAATGAACAACAATCAACAAATCAGTATGAAAGAAAATTTCAACACTGGGCAAATAAAAAAAAATCCAAGAACAGGCAGAAGGTATGAATCAGATTATCAACTAAATTAAATCGAGAAAAATACAAACATAGAACAGATTTAACAGAAAATAATTTTAACACACAAAGATTCAAATAACAAAAGAAGGAAAAGAAAAACTCACTATGCACGGCTTGCGCACAAGCGCCTGGATATCGATTTCGAACCTCGGAATATTGTTAACGCTTGTTCTTCAAAAAGAACAAACGAAAACTTGTTCGTGGAACTCGAATCCAACAACAGGACTCAAGAAATCTGGGGCAGCAATCGCACATTTGAACTTCTAGGGTATCTGCCGCCCCTACGATCTAAAAATTCGAGAGGTTTTGGCAACATTCGAAAGATTCTGTCTAGGATTCGGGTAGTAGGGGGGTCGGAAGAGCATATGGTGTAATTTGTGGATTTGGCGTGGAAGTTAATGTTTTGGCTCGGATTTCGTCTAAAATTCGAAAAGATTGGGCAATGAATTGAAGGAAATTATTTTTGGGGGTTGGAAAAAGAGGAGAGGCAAAATGAGTCTATGCGTGTATTTTTGGTGGTTGATTGGAGCTTCGCCGCCGGCGGCGACTATTTCTCCGGCCGGCAGGCGGACCGGGCGGAGGGACGGTGGTGTGGAAGTAGCACTAATATGTGCACCTAATCATAATTTGTATGAGACAAGCCTAGTCGATTTAGGATTAGATTTAAACATGAGTTTTAGCATATTGACTCACAAAACTGGTAAAATCACGGTTTTATAGTATGCATAAGTCTTTTGTTGATGCACATCTCAGTAAAATCGCGTCTAGCTGTAGTTTTAGATATTTAGCTTATGATTTGTCTTTAAAATTGCAAGTTATATGTTCACTCCAGAACGCGTTTGAATGTTAAACAAACAAGATTGAAGGTTTAATAAATAATTAGAGATGATGGTAGCATTATCAGTTGCTAAGCTTGATCCCTGCCTGGATTGTTTGGGCCAGGGCAGGGTGTTTCAATTTGGCCCAATTATGAGAAACTCTTTTAGAATTGGTAACGGGCCCGATTTGTAGTGTAAGTGATTAGGGGCCCAGGCAATCTTGGTTAGACCTTGATTTCCTCCTCTTTGTGACATGGCCCAAACATGGGAATTAATTGTTGAAGGTCCTTGTTCATTTTGATAATTTTCCTTTAAAATAAAAGCAAATCAATTTTGAGCCTTCCAAATTAGGTAGCGGATTTAAATTAAGAGGTTCTCCTCTTGTTTAAGTTCGGACTTGAATTTGAGGCCCAAATGGTAATATTAATTAATTAGGTCCCTTTAGAAACAAAAAATAAATAGAAAATCGTAGTTCCTTTAGTTGGGCCTCTGAATAATAAAGTGAGAGGCGCCTCGCCGAACAAAAATGCATAAATTTCGGGGCCCTCATTAAATGTTTAATTAAAATATTTTAGAAATTCGGGACATGCCATTTAGCGAATTTTCGTGGATTCCCGCAAAGTTAATAAGGCGCTAGCCACTTTAGGCACGTTTTTTTATGTTACTTTCCTAAACTCGGGTGCGCATTTCATGCAACCCAAATCCAAATCCCAAAACGCTGAATAAGAGGTGTTTAGGATCCGGGTGCATTTCATGTGACGTGATCCAAAAACACGCTCTTAAACGGCGTTCACTTCCATAAAAAGTAAATAAAAGCGGTAAATAATTTATAAAATTGCACTATAGGTTCGAATATGTATAAAATCAGAATTTTAGCCATTTATAATAATTTAAGCGACCGTGCTAGAACCACGGGATCCGGGGGTGCCTAACACCTTCCCTCGGGTCAACAGAATTCCTTATTCAGAATTTCTGGTTCGCAGACTCCAATTGGGAAGTCAAATTTTTCCTCGATTTGGGATTTAAATTAAACCGGTGACTTGGGACACCAAAAGCCAATCCTATCCCAAGTGGCGACTCTAAGAAATAAATAAATAATCCCATTTCGAATAATGTCACTTTAAATGGAAAAACTCCCTTATACATTTATCCTTCGGGGTAGGTGTGGTAAAAAGGAGGTGTGACAAAAATATGATGTTGTTGCAGTAATATATTCATTCGTTTACTTCTTTAAATGTCGACACCACTTAATATAAATCTTGCATACGCCCTGACATGACCCCGTACATAATTGGAGCTTAGTGCACCGGACTGCCCTTTACTGTTGAGTAAGCTGGCCGTTATATGCCCTTGACCGGCCCCAAGTTGAGTCGTGACAATAACAGATGTTCAGAATTTTTCTTTTTCCTACAGATTTTGTCATCCTGAACCAAAAAGTAGCACATAAATTGAAGAATAACTGTTTAGATCTCTTTTGCATCTTCACTTCCAACTTCATATGTGAAGCACTTCCCTTTTCTTCCCCTGCACACCTAGTTGTTTGGAAAGACAACTTTTCTTAGTTTGGTTTGAAGAGAAGAGGAAGAAAAAAAAAATTACTTCACCTTGGGCCTTGTTTGTTAAACATCAAAATCTTTATCTTCCCTCACCACTTTTGAAGTTTAATAATCTCACAACAAAAGAGGACACATCTCCTCCTCTTTCTACTTCATTTTCCAGTTCTTTCCGTTTTTCTTCTTCCAAATAAACAAGGTATTATTTCACAACAATATCACATTATCCCCAAACAATAAATGTTTCCTCTGTATTTTTCCTATTGGAGAATTTCTATTTCCTTTTGCGCATTTTCTCCGATTGGGTGGAGGGTGGGGGAGGATGAGTTTAATGAATAATAGAAAAAAATCCATTATGAGATGTTGAGAACAATCATCATATGCTTAACTGTTCTCCAACATAAACATGTTGGAGAAATAATTCAACAAAACAATTAACATTACGACATGAATCCCACTAATATTAGACCAATTCTTGAATCCAGGATAATAATCATCAATCAATTTACATAAATTAACCAACAAATATTGAACAAACAACACTTCACTCCAAAAGATTACCTACTACTCATGTACCTAAACTCAATATCAACTACATCAAAATGAGAAGAAGGCTTAGTTTGAAACCGTAAAGATTTGAAAGTAAGTAGTATTAATAAAACATTCAGAAACTGAATCAAATCTCAGCTTATGACTACCTTCCGAGGCAAGGGATTGACTAATCTACAGATGCCTCCTGTAACCATAGTATTCTGAGAAAGATTCCAACTTTACACATTTAGGAAGCGCTTAGCTTATTAAATACAATGCTCCATTAAATTGTTAGATTCTTGCAACCTTTGGAACATCAACAGGGAACTGATGAATCTCATCCATCCACGGATTCTTCTCCTCGGCTGGATTTATCGTTCTCAAAGCCTTCCAAACAGCACTGTTACACTTGAATCCCGAACCAAATGCTATCTGCCAAGTTCGGTCTCCTCTCTTGATCCTTCCCTTGGCTTCCGAGTAGGCCAATTCATACCAAAGGGAACTGCTTGAAGTGTTCCCAAATCGATAAAGTGTCATTCTTGAAGGCTCCATGTTCCAATCAGAAAGCTGCAGGTTTTTCTCTATTTCATCCAATACAGCTCTCCCACCGGCATGAATGCAGAAATGCTCAAATGCCAACTTAAAATCGGGGATATAAGGCCTAATCTTCATTTTCAATAGCTTCCTTCCTGCCAATGTGGCGAAGAAAAGAAACTGCTCCGACATTGGAAGCACAAGAGGACCCAATGTAGTGATGTTGGTTTTCAAAGCATCACCGGCTACTGCCATCAGCTCCTTCGACAGAGAGACTCCAACTTTTCCATCGGAATCTTCCATTTGGTAAACACAAGTAAAGCACTTATCATCAGAACCCTTGTGAGTTCTAACAGTATGGACCAGCTGATACTTTGATCTTCTTCGATCTGATCTTTTGTTTGAGAGCAACACAGCAGCACCTCCCATACGGAATAAGCAATTCGGAAGGAGCATAGATTTCTCATTACCAAAATACCAATTCAAAGTGATGTTTTCCATGCTAAGAACCAAGGCATAAGTGTTGGGATGGACTTGAAGAAGATCTTTCGCAAGATCAATCGAGATCAAACCAGCACTACAACCCATTCCACCGAGATTGTAACTAACAATGTTCCCACGAAGCTTGTAATGGTTGACAATCATCGCAGACAAAGAGGGGGTCGGGTTAAACAAGCTGCAATTCACAACTAAAATTCCAATATCCTTAGGTTTAACAGAGGTTTTAGCAAGAAGCTCGTCGATGGCTCCAAACATAACAGCCTCGGCTTCTTTTCTTGCTTCTGCCATACAAGGATTTGGCGGTACATGAGTCACTGCTTCGGGGAGGTAAGTTAAATCACCAAGACCAGACCTCTCAACAATTTTCCTTTGAAACTCAAGGTTTTCGTTAGAAAACGCTCCAACGGACTTAGACATTTCCAAGAAATGTTCCCTTGTGCACTTCCTTGCATCTATCGGTTTGTAGCACGAGAAATCGACAAGGTAGACAGGGCGAGGACGGGTAAAGAAATAGAGAGTAGACAGAAAGACCAAAAGGGTGGAGCAAATGACAACAGATATAAGATTAAACCTAAGTTGATCCCAAAGAACATAAAGGTCATTGAGTGAGAATGTGGAAAGTTGAGCAGCAGTGAGAACAACTAGAGGTGACAAAAACAGGTACATTCCATGTGTAATGAGGTAATGGTATCCAAGTTTAACATACTTCAGCTTCACAGATTGTTTAAAATCAGGAAGCTTTCTTGAAAAAGAAGGTGGATTTACTGGTGTTTCTGTCTTACTTTCACTCATCTTGATGAAAAATAGACAACCCAAAATCAACAATTCAAGAGCAGTCCAGTTCTATAAACAAGATTGTGACAATATTTAAGGTCAACGGCTATCTAAAGAACAAAGATTGAGTTTTTACAACATCCTAACTTCCTAAGGGTTTAACAAACAAAGGAGCAACAATATTCAAGAACAAGTACCATTTAACAAGAAAATCTCACAGGAAAAATAGGCCAAATTCAAAGAACCACCTGTAGAAAAGAACAAACAAACGTTAGTCTGACTAAATGTACAACAGCTAAAAGTTTCACTCAGTTACAATATCCAACAAAACAGAAAAAAAAAAAACATAAGACAGACAAATTTCAAAATTTTAAGCAGGGAGGAAAAGAAGAAAACCCCATCTCAAGACAACCATTTTTGGAACTAAAAAGCTGAGAAAATTCAAAAAATTTAAAGACAGAATCAAGATCAGGAAAACAAACCTCAATCAGTGCAGAATATAACTGCGCTACGCTTGAAAGGGAGAGGGAGAAGGAGATAGAAGATGGTTTTGAAGTTGGTATAATCAGATAGTACTAATTTATACTAGGAAACAAGTCAAATTTTGGATTTGCATTTAAAAGGATAAAAACGTTGATTCCGTAGTGGGGTCCTTGTTTGGTCGCCAGTTTTTCACCTTTTCATCTGCTCTCTTCAGTCAGCTTATTAGTATCAAACTCTTTACTAGTGGACCCACACAAGTGCAGGTCTTGGAAAAGAAAAAGACAAGAAAATTCAATGGACGTTTGTTGCGATTACGTTCGCACTTCCGTAAGGATTGGGCAGTTGGAAATTAGCAAGCAAGTAGTACTACTAGTTTCTACTTTCTTGCATACGTGGATAAAACTGTGTTGGTGGGGGAGGGGCAGCTACGCGCATTCATTAACTCCTTGAATCTAGAAGAAAAAGTACTGCAACAATTTCTTTTTTTTTTTCTTTCTCTCTCATGTTCGGCCAAAAATGCAGATATTTACTCATTGTTATCTGATACTTTTAATCATCATTTGAATATTAGTTATATTATTTTGTGCTTAATATTATATTCTAACTGTGTAGGAATAAAGCGGTGTGAAGATGAAGAGATTTGGAACAAAATTGGATAAAACGCGAAAGAAAAATAAAGGAAATTAAAAAAAAGGAGGGGGGAGGGGGGGACAACCTTTGATTTTGTCCCCTCAAGTGGAGACAAACAAAACAAGAAAGATATAGAATGCAATTGCATTCTAAATGCAATGAATGAAAATTAACGTGAAGGAATTGAACGAAAGCTCACTGCCTCCAGCGCCACGGTCGCGCTGGCCTGGACGTTGTATTGCGTGGGTTTTCCTATTTCGTCCGGAATAAGGTTATTTCGGCCCTACACGGTCCAAATTCGTATAAAAGGGGTCCAAAACCTATTTTGGAGGAGGAGGACGTTTTTGAGAGGAAAACACAAGCACAGAGCCGCCGTGGAGGCCGGAATTCATCAAGTTCCATCTTTTCTTCCATCAAACTTAGTAATTTTTATGTTTCTTTGTATGATTTGTTGTTTTGCTACCATGTCTATGTGGAGCTAAACTTCACGTTCGAGGCATGTGGTTCTTTCATGAATATTGTTATTCGGATATTGATTTTGATTTCTTAGTTTATCATATTAGTTTATTTATTCAATCATGCGCTTAATTATTTAATTGCTTGATCACCAATTAAATACTATCTACGAATCTTGAATTGAACTCGAAAGTGGGAATTCTAGATTGCATATAGGATTGAGTAGAGCAAGTTCTTGAACCTGGGCATCGGGGAACGGATTCGCAGTTAGGATAGACATATACCTAATTGCCTTGCTTGGTTAATTTACAGGAATTATAAATGCGTTCTTGTTAGTTCTAATTCCATAGACATATAGGAGTTAGGTTAGCTTGAATAGGCGAGTAAGAACTCGACAGATTCTTATGAGCAATATTAACCTTGTTAACCAATAAACTAGATAAATTAGATAGTCAATTCATGTCATGACTCCAACCCCGGTCGTGATGGCGCCCAACACAATGCTAGGCAAGCCCGACCACTACAACACTCTCAACCCTCGTACGAAGCTCATTACCAATTAATAGAGTAAAATTACCAATTTAACATGATTACATTCCGTGATAACAGTAAAAACAAAGCGGAAAGCCATAAGAATACCAATACAACTCCCAAAAGATCTGGTGTCACGAGTCGAGCCTCTAAATACAAATGAGTAGCAGCCTATACATGTGAAGTCTAGAATGCGGAAATAAAAGGGATAAGGGGAGAAATCGGGTCCTGCGGACGCCAGGCAGCTACCTCGATAACTCCGGTGACAGTCTGGACAACAGCAAAACAACTCTACTAAGCCTCTGGGATACCTGTATCTGCACACATGGTGCAGGGAGTAAAGTGAGTACTCCGACTCAGTGAGTAATAGCAATAAATAACGACTGAGGATAAGAAAACTCGAAAAAAGCACTAAGCAGTTCTATATCAAAGCAGTAAGAACATTTAAACAGCAATTGAATGAAGAAACCAGATAAAATCCTTTAAGCCAGTACTCAACTCATTTACTCCTCACATAGCCGAAATCATAATTATACCGCTGCGCGTGCAGCCCGATCCATATAGTATACTGCTGCGGCGTGCAGCCCGATCCGTGTATATATATATATATATATATATATATACACTACTGCGGCGTGCAGCCCGATCCAATAATAATAGTCGACTGCGCTCACTGGGGGTGTGCAGACTCCGGAGGGGCTCCTTCAGCCCAAGCGCTATACTACTGCGGCGTGCAGTCCGATCCATATAAATATACTACTGCAGCGTACAGCCCGATCCGTATAAATATATATACTGCTGCGACGTGCAGCCCGATCCGTATAAATATATATACTGCTGCGGCGTGCAGCCCGATCCAATACGTATCAAATACCCTCACAATGGGGTTCTCAACCCCTCTCAGTCAATATAAACTTAGCCCCTCGGGCATACTAAGATAGGATAGGGACTCCAGCCCACATGTTACTCTTATTTTTTTGGTTTAGCTATTTAGAGCCAGTTCGTATTTTATTAAGCAATTAGAAACATGACTGAGGGTATGATTTTTACCGAGTAAAGTGAGGTTGATCAGTACAAATACCCCTAAGGGTTCTACAGGTCGGCACAAGGCCCCAAACATGGCAACTAGCCCAAACTAACATTATATTAATTAAGCCTCAGTCAAAATACAAGAGAATCAGCAATCGGGATGGACCAGGTCCAAATCCCCAGCAGTAATGGACCCCACGCTCATCATGCGGCGTGTGTCTCACCTCAACATAGCACTACGTTGCGCAATTCCGGGGTTTCAAACCCTCAGGACATCATTTATAACCATTACTCACTTCAAGCTGGCCAAAGTCCTAGCTCGCTATGCCCTTGCCTCGCAAATCAACCTCTTCGTGCGTAGAATCTGGTCAAAACCACAAGGAATACATTACAATAGGCTAAGGGAACATAACCCAATCGAAAAGACTCGAAAATTATCAAAAATCACGAAGTTGGCAAAACCCGAGTCCCGGGCCCACTTCTCGAAAAATTACAAAATTTACATCACCGAATTCCTCGTCTCGCCACAAGTCTATACATATCAAATTTACCAAAATCCGAGCTCAATTGCTCTCTCAAATCCCAAATTTTCATTTCAAAAGTCAAGCCCTAGTTCTTCCAATTTTACTCAAATTTCCATGAATTTAAGGGTTGATTCTTCAATAAAATGATGTTTCTAAGCCATAGGACTCACCTCCAATCGATTCCCAGTCAAAACCCTCTTTAAATCTCGTCAAAAGCTCTCAAGGATACTCAACAATGGTGGAAATGGGACTTGGTTCGCGGATGAAATGTTATAAAAAAAACCCTTCTGTCCAGCTATAATTTCTTCTATGCGATCGCGGCCCTAGGCTCGCGATCGTGATGAGCAAATTCCCAAGGCTTCAAAAACGTTCTATGCGAACGCGACAGGGGCTCCGCGATCGCGATGCTTCACTTTCCAAACCTACGCGAACGCGGCTCATGTGATGCGAACGCGATGAATAAAATATGCTGGCCCCAAAATCCTCTTATGAGAACGCGGGCTATACCACGCGAACGCGAAGCTTCCGCTTCCAATGCTATGCGAACGCGTCCCAGTGACTGCGATCGCGAAAGCCAAATCCCCTCTGCAATAACTGCTGAAAACCTGCAACTTTTAAGAGCTAAACTTGGTCCGATTGACCATCCGAAATCACCCCGAGGCCCCCGGGACCTCAATCAAAAGCACCAACACATCCTAAAACATCATTCAAACTTTTTCCAATCATCAAAACACATCAAACAACGCTAAAACCATTAAATCACCTCGGATTCAAGCCTAAGTTTCTTAAAAACTTCCGAAATACGCATTTGATCAAAAACCCAACCAAAACACCTCCGAATGACCTGAAATTTTGCACACACATCCAAAATCACCTAACGAAGCTACTGCAACTCTTGGAATTCCATTCCAACCCCCGGATAAAAATCTTACCTACCAACCGGAATTCGCCAAAATACTAACTTCGCCAATTCAAGCCTAATTCTACACTGGACCTCCAAAATCAATTCCGATCGCACTCCTAAGTCACAAATCATCCCTCGAAGCTAACCGAGTCACCGAAAATCACATCCGAGCCCTCTAACTCAATAGTCAACATCCGGTTGACTTTTCCAAAACAAGCCTTCCTTAAAGAGACTAAGTGTCTCATTTCCATCTAAAACCAATCCAATTCGAGTCGATCACCTCAAATACCGATAACGAAGCACAGAGAAACATGAGATGGGGGAAACGGGGTGGCAACTCACGTGACGACGGGCCGGGTCATCACAATTCAATTTAAGAATACAATAGGAATGTTAGATAGCCCATAACCCTAGATCGTTTTCGTTACATTGATATCATAAAAGATCTGCTCTTTCTCTGTTCAAAGTTCATTATTTATATTTCTTAATTTAATTAGTTTAGAATCAAATACTTCTAGGTTTAATTCTTGTTTAGATAATTAAGATAGTCTAATTTAGTTAATAGTTAATCACAAGTCCTCGTGGGTTCGACATCCGACTTTTAGTCACTTTATTACTTGACGATCGCGTATACTTGCGTGTGCGTTTGGGAGCAACAAGTTTTTGGCGCCGTTGCCGGGGACTTAAAAATTAGCTATTTTTCTAGATTAGACTTTTACTTTTATCTTTACAGGTTTTGTTTTTTTTTCCTTCTTTTTGTAAATATTTTTAATTTTATAACTATTTAACTTTTCTCTTAGTGTGTTTATAGTTATCTCAACATGACATCTAATGATGAAGTATCTGGTAAGGTTATTGATGAAGACGCTTGGTTGATGGAAGACTTATATGGCCCATCTTTTTGGTCTTGTCGTGCCCTGAAATCTAAGAGGTTTGAATGAATATGGGAGTAAGGGTTGGTATTGGGATGGATATTCTCGATTAGGCGAATATGCGGAACGACGTTGTCTTCTAACAACGTTGGTGAATGATTGGTCTAAGGAGAGAGATGAACTTGCACATAAAATTGATAATTATGGCTTGGCTGTACATCACTTAGATGCAGATTTG